CGACTGGTATGGGTCTAGATAGTCTGTTTCATCCAGGTGCCGAGGGAACTGCTGCGCAACCACACTCTCAACAACCTTCGCCGCAAAGCGAAGGTTGGAGACCGGGCGATAATTGGCCAACTCGTCTGGGTCCAGGGAAGGCTTCTTGAGGAGGGGCCTCACCACGGCCTCCTTAAGGGCCGCCGGGAAGACGCCCTCCTGCAAAGAAGCGTTAATAATTCCCTGGAGCCAGGCTCGTGTCCCCTCCCGAGCTGCCAGTACCAGCCAGGAGGGACACGGATCTAATAAACATGTGGTTGCATTCAGCCTCCCCAAGACCCTATCCACGTCCTCGGGAGCAACAGAGTCAAACTCCTCCCATACAACCGTCTCAAGACCTGCTTCCGTCTCCTCCCCCTGGGCCAACCAGTCAGAGTCCAAGCCTTCCCGGATCCGAGCGACTTTGTCATGCAGATACTGTGCAAAATCTTTGGCCCTCCCCTCCAGGGGGTCCCCCCCCCTCAATTGAAGGAGAGAGCGGGTCACCCTGAAGAGGGCGGCCGGGCGATTGTCTGATGACGCAATGAGTGAGGCATAGTAGTTAGTCCTAGACTCCCTCATCGCCACTAGGTAGGATCTAAGGTGTGTCCTTACCTGTGCTCGATCGGATTCGGTTCGGCTGGCCCTCCAACTGCTCTCTAGGCGTCTTTTCCGACGTTTCATCTCTCTCAGCCCCTCGGTGAACCAGGGAGCCGGTCGAGATCCACGTCGGGTCAGAGGCTGCAAAGGCGCGACTCGGTCCAATGCTGCGGCGGCAGTTGTCTCCCAAGCCGCCGCCTGATTTTCCGCCGAGTCGTGGACTAGATCCTCCGGGTATGGCCCAAGCTCCATCAGGAACCTCTCCGGGTCCATCAGTCGCCTGGGACGGAACCATCTAGGCGGTTCCGTCTCCCTGCGGCGAGGGGGGGCGGTCCGGAAGCCCAGCCTTAGGAGAGAATGATCTGACCATGACAGGGGCTCAACCACTATCTCCCCTACTGTCAGATCACTCTGCCACTGGCCAGAGACAAAAATTAGATCCAGCGTGTGTCTTAACTCTCTCTCTATCCTCTCATCCATCCATCCATCCATCTATCTATCTACCATCTTATCTCTCTCTCTCTATCTATCCACCATCTTATCTATCTATCTATCCATCCATCCATCCATCCACCATCTTATCTCTCTCTATCCTCCTATCTATCTATCTATCTATCTACCTACCTACCTACCTACCCACCCACCCACCCTATATTCTCTCTCTCTCTCTCTCTCTCTCTCTCTCTCTCTCTCTCTGAAGAGGTCTGGCGCAGTGGTTAGAATGCAGCGTTGCATTTGGCATTTAATTGTGGTCGTAAGTCAAGGACTTCAGGACTGCCATTCGGAAACCTTTTCCTGGCTGGCACGGCCAGAGGGACGGGGAAGAAATGTCCAGCAATGCAACCCTGGCATTGTGTT